CCGGGCGCCGAGGGCCGCTCGGAAGGGCCCTTCTTCCCTCGGCTCCTCCCGACGGGCATCCCTGCCGCTGACGATCGTTAACAGCACACCTGCGCTCACAGAGATGCCTGAACCTGCTTTCGTCATGAAACCAAAGTACAGCCCCGCGGCGCCACTGGGTCTGCTCAGACGTTCTCGGCGTGTCTTCCTCTGGGGCCTCGCGCTCGGGGTTCTTCAGCTTGTGGGGCCGGGGGGTGGACTTGTCGCCAGCCCTGAGTGGGCAGGGAGCTTCGTAGGCCCCCGGGCTCATCGTTCTTGAAGCCGGGAGCCGTGGCCTGAGCAGCAGCTGCTTCTCCGGGCCCACACGTGCGGTGGCCAGTTCCGCCACACGAGGCCGGCACAGATCACAGAGGAGAAGGGGGCCGTGCGGGCGGGCGGCGGGCGGCCTAGGAGGCTCCCCAGAGCGCGGCAGAGCAGTCAGGAAAGGCGGAGCTGGGAGGAGGGTGCCGGCCGGGCTCGGCCTCAGGGCAGCGCCGCCAGCACCGTAAGTGGACACAGGTGGTCAGCAGGGCCGGGGAGGTGAGGGCTCTTCCTGAAACCCACTCGCAGACAGTTGGGCAGTAGGTGGGTGTCCCCTCCTCTGTGGACTCGAATCTGAACCATCGGGTCCTCGGGACACAGCTTCAACTTTGGACAAGCCTGAGTCCCTCCGGGAGGTCGGGAAGAGGGTGGCAGACCAGCAGGAGTTCCCAGAGCACGGGCAGTGCTGGTCCTGGGCCTCAGCCGGGGGCGTCCCCGGGGTGGGAAACTGCTGCCGCTCCGTCCGAGATGAGAGACTTGTGAATTTGTGCAGCTGGCTTTGTCCTTGGCCCCTCGGCAGTTTTCAAGGATAAAGCAACTTGGTGGTTGACTTGTGATTGAGTTTTTCCCAGTCATAATAAAAATATGTGCGTTTTGTAACATGTCATACCTTGTTTAAAGTGAGTTTCCAAACAGAACCGGGCCGTCCTGCACCAGCACCGGCCACCAGCACAGACAGCAGGCGGCTCGGTGGGGCAGGCACACGCTGCAGCGGGAACACGTGTCTGTGTCTGCTGATACGTGGGTGGGAGGAGGGTTAACACGCGTGCAGCACACTCCACTCCACACTCACGGGTGACTCCTCCCCACTCGCTGCCCTAAAGACACAGCCAGAAACACCTGAGCCCCAAACTGGGTTCGTGGCGCGGGGACACTTCCCGCCTTCGTCGGGGGCCACGTGGACCAAGGCTCCCATGCTGGCGCTGGCTCCTGGTGAGTACGTCGCCCGGAGGAGCCGGCGCTCCTTCCCCTCTTCTCTCAGCCCTCTCCACGGGGTGTTCGTGGCTGCTGGAAAGTCCCTCGGGGTTTCCGAGTAGCTGCCATCTCCGTGAGCCGCGCCCGCGTGCTGGGAGGGCTGGGGGACGCGCACATCGTGGTGCTCCGGGTGTTGCAGAAGCAGATTCAGGCCGTGCCTGGGGGGCCAGAGGCCAGCGGCCAGGCGGGAAGACTGGACAGGTCCATGTTCCGGCCACATTCTGTTCACTCGCTGTGAGTACTGCACGAAGAGGTGTTTGCAGAGATCTTATCACCCCCGCCCCTGGTCCCTTTCCCACGTGGAGAGCTCTCGCACATGAGGGGACCTTTCAGTTGGCCCCAGCAGACCCGTCCAGCCCTGCGACTGTCCACTCAGCCCTTGGGTGCATGCTGGCCGACCAGCTGGCAGCTGTGATGAGGCCTGAGCGCTGGCCTCTTTGACTCCAGACCCTGGTTTTAAAGACAAAATGTGACAGAAACACCATCAAACAGACCAGAAGCTGAGGGAATGCTGCTTGTGGGGCTGGGAAGCAGGGAAGCCCAGCTCCCCGACACCAGTGGGCCCAGGACGGTGCACTCGAGCACTACAGGGACAGAAGACCACTTGAGGGTGTCGACTGCAGAAAAGACGCCCACCCTAAAGGCTGAGTTACGCTTTATTTGGTGGACTTAGTGGGGACCCGCGCCCGGGAGACGGCCTCTCAGGTGCTCTAGGGGACTGTTCTGGAGAAGTGAGGGAGAAACCAGGACGTGCAGGGGTTTTTGCAGCACAGACCAGGTAGCTGGAACGTCAGAAGGTGACTGTGGATTAAGGAACACCAGACGTCTCAAGTTGGGGAACTTAGCATTTCTCTACGCACGGGAAGATGCAGGCGTCTGGGCTCACTGAAGCCACCCCTGTGACGTGCACCTGAGCTGCCCGGGGCCAGGGTCCTGTGCCTCCCCAGCCCGAGTCCCCTCGGGGGCACCGCCTGGGGCGGCAGCAGAGGCCGGGCTGCCTGCTTGTCCGCATCCCGAGTTCCCTGCGGGCCCCTGGGGGCCAGGGTACTGTCTGATGACTTGATGGCCGCAGCGTCCTTTGTTTACTGGTGCGGCTGCTATACTTTTCACTCACGAGGTCAACAAGAAAGACCGCTTGTGAGCATCGATGTGGACACATTAACCAAACACCCGCCTGTGCAGAACCCGTCCCGTGGATGCTGTAGCTGCCCTGGGGCTGGGGGCCCACAGGAACCCCCGTGTCGGGGAAGCAGAGGCCCCCCCTGGAAGAAAGGCTGGGGTGCGGCTGGAGGCGGAGATGGAGGAGGACTGTGCCTGCCCGGGGCTCTGGTGGGGGAGCCGGTTTCCCACGCTGTGTCCACCCTCCTTGAAGGCACCACGGAAGTGTGGTGAACGGTCAGGTCTTGCCATTGATTTAAGTGTAGACTTTGCAACTGGATCATCTCAAAGGTGGACCAACCTGTATCTTACAGGCCCAAGAAGGCCCCTTGGAGAGTGTGTTGCCAAATAAACCTGATGCTGAGTGAAGGGAGCTCTCTGTGGTGCTCCCAGGGCGTGGTCTCTGGTCTCCGGCTGACCCCAGAGCCGGTCATGTCAGCTCCATGCCCCCCATTCCCCCCCCGGACCCTCCGTCCACACACACCCGGTCTCCCTCTTGTGCCGCCTCCCAGGGAAGGGGAGGCCTTGTCTGGGGTCTCGGGGTCCAGTCCTGTTCCTTCAGCGGCTCCAGGCCTGCCAGGTCAGTCCTGCCCACCTGTCTGGACCCGTGGGCCTGTGTCTCAGCTGCCCTGCCCATCCCTGTCCTCCCAGCCCAGAGGTGGGTCCAAAGAGTGGCGCCACCCTGCCCTGTGGACCTGGCCCAGCGCAGCCTGGCCTTTCCGGTCCACAGCACGCAGGCCGTGGGGCCACAGCCTCCCCACCCCCATCCACACTTCTTTCTCCTCTGTGTCCCGGGTCCCTCTGAGCACAGGTAGGACACGGGTCACTCATGTCTCTGCATTCCTGGCACGTGGTGCAGGATGTGGGAGGAGACGGCCCGGCCCAGGGCCCCCGGCCCGCAGCCCATCCCACCCCCACAAGCCACCCCCACCCCAGGCCCCGCTCTGCCTCGTTTACTCTCTTCTGCCCACAGCCTTCATGCTTCTCTGCACTTGAGGGGAGCCCTGTGCCCCCACCACACGCTGGCCTCGCTGCCTCGGGTCCTGTTCCCACCTGCTCCTTGGGGCCCCACAGCTTGTCCCCGGTGTCACGCTCCTCAGCAGAGGGGCCCAGCGAGCTGAGGGTCACTGAGTGACTGGACGTATGGGCCCCCCGCCCCCGGCCCGCCCACCCCCACAACCAGATGTAGGATAGCCGCCCAGCCTGAGCCTGAAGGGTGGGGAGGGAGGCTCCCACCTCCAGCCAGCAGCTGAGATGGGGGCAGTGGCCTCTCGTGGGCTCCATGAGCCACAGCTCCGGCAAAACACTCAACGCCTCCGTTAGCGTTGAATGTGGGCCTCTGCCCCGGGGAGGGGCAGACCATGGACAAGCGCGTGCCCCCAGCCCCTCCTCGCCCTCTGATGTGCCGCAACCCCCGGGCCTCCGTCTGGAGCTGATTCCGGTGGGGCTGCGTCCCCAGCAAGATGCTAGTTGATGCCATGACGCTGGTCCAGAACCCTGTGCAGGAAGGGGCACCCAGGGCCCTGACCTCCCTGCACCTGGCGGCCCAGGTGAGCGCCCCTGGCCACTGCTGATGCAGGCAGTGAGGGTGTGCACCCGGCGGGGCTGGGGAGAGCAGGTCCTAGGGGACGGGATGGGAAGGGGCTCTGGAGGGAGTGGTGGTCAGACCTCACTTACCAGGAAACCTGGGGAGGCCCGGTCGACAACGTGGAGGTGGGGAGGGAACGGCGGGGGCGGCGGAGTGGGGCGTGCCGAGAACTCCCACAGAGGACGGTCAGCAGCTCAGAATCACAGCTCATGAGCCCCTCGGCCCTGAAGGCTCCCCAGAGAAGATTCCAGATCACGGGAGAGGCAGCAAATGCACACTGACTGGGGCCACGGGGACCTGAGGGTCCCGAGCGTGGGCTGAGCAGGGGGAGGGCCGAGGTGCCCACAGAAGGCTCGGCGAGTCCGACAAAGCCCCCAGACATGCGCTCAAAGTCCAAAAGCATTTCTGTTGGGCTGCCACCGGTCAGGAGCTAATGTTTAAAGTTACCGTGTTGGTTAATTTCATGTCGACCTGACTGGCTCAGGGGCCCAGTGCTCTGTGAAGCGTGACTTCCAGGTGTGTCTGTGAGGGCTTCTGGAAGGGGTCAGCCTTTGACTCAGTGAACTGAACAAAGATTCACCCTCCTGGCTGTGGGCGGCACCGTCCAACCCGTGGACCACAGCTGTGACGGGAGGGCCGACTCCCTCTGCTCCAGCCGGGCCGTGGCCTCTGGCCCTGGGCGTCGCAGGTTCTGGGCCTGGGGCCTGAGGACTGGCGCGTACACCGCTGGCTGCCCGTGCTCCTGGGCCTCCAGCCTGAGGGCAGGTGACGTGGGGCGACCCCCGTAATTAACGCCTCCTCTGACGTCTGCCGGGGTGCGTCCTACCATTCTGAACATCAGCGTCGGCCAGTAAGTCTAATAGGGGACATACGCGCCCTCCCCCAAAAGCTAAGCTCCGAGGACACCCACGTGAAGCGGCGACGCAGCCCAATCGGAATCTCCAGGGGACGGTTTTGCAGCCGTCAATCAGCTGATGCTAACAGGGCAGGAGCCGCGGTAACTAAGTCAGTGTGCGAGGCCCGGTGCGAGGCCAGGCAACGGGACCAGCGGGGCAGGACAGCGGGGCACGAAGGTTGCTGCCACGCTCGGCTGCCGTGGAGCGCAGGGCCATGCACCTCCACGACTGTGGACAGCATCTCTCGGCGGGGCCGTGGGGGGTCACACGGTCACTCTATGTTTAGCAAACCCAGGAACCGCCACTCCCTTCCCAGGGCAGCCCCAGCTGCGCCCCCACCGGCGGTGTCCTCCACACGCCTGCAACACGGGTTCGTCTCCTTTTCCTCGGTCACACCCACATCCTAGTCAGTGTGAAATGCTGTCTCGTGAGCCCATGTATCAGATTAAAGGGTCCGCTCTAATCAGAGTCTTTGCTGGTTCCACCCATATGGAAACTACAGGCTGGTAATTCCAGCGAGCAGCCGCGTCTCCTTACTGCGCTGCACACGTACCCGGGGGGCAGGGGGCCGCTTCCTACTGACTCCATCAGCCTGTTGCTTTGGTTTGACTTTTTCAGACAGTTCACATGCTAACTCTCCAGCCACATGATCAGACCTGAAATAAACCCGGGGAGGGGGTGCGTTTCTCCACACGTTTAATTTTCATGCTCGATGAGACAGAGTGTTCTCCAACACACTCAGATCTTCATTTTATTCTACTGACAAAATCATACAAAGAACCTCGAAAAGGCAAACACGAAGCCAACGGCCACAGTTAAGAGTCCCACAGTTTACAGAACAGGAAGGACCTAGGGTGCAGACAGACGTGGCAGGTGCTTGGCCGGGCCGGGTGTCGCAGAGAGTGGGGGGTCCTGTATGCGCAGCTGCTTCCCAGCCTTGACCAACCTGCCAGCCGGTGCACAGGGACCCGGGACCCAGGAGAGGGACCTGAAGAGGGAGGTACAAGTCACCGCTGAACTGAGATCCCCGCCCCAAGCTCAGCTGTGGCGTTTGGCACACGCTCTGGCCGTGGTCATCCTGACGGTGACGCTGACCCTCCATGCTGCCTGACTGCCCCTCAGAAACATCTGGAAACACACGCTTAGCCCCTGCCTGACCTGAAGCCTGTGGACAGGGCCGATTCCCTTGGGAGCCCATGGCAACCAGAGAAAGCCAAGGGCCTGGCTGTTCGGAGCCCATTTCACAGACACAACCTCCTTGTGGACGATGTTTATCACTGAAACTCCCCCGGACGTTTAAATAAATAAATAACCCATACAGAAAGTGAGGCACAAATTACTGCAACAACACACGGTGAACATGACAGCGCGTGTAAAGTGCAAACAGTCCAGGATCAAGGGAAGGTGCCTGTCAGTGCCCCAAACGTGGCGGGAACACCCCCACCCCCACAGCCACAATGCCCCAGGCCCATCCGGAGGTGACAGGCTCAGCTGGCAGCCGTGTGCAGTGGCTGCAGGACCTCCCACGGCTGCACCCCGTCCCCTCTCAAGAGCCTGAAGCATGGAAACGAGGTTGCAGGAGCCAGTGCGTCAGACGCTGGACCGTGTGGCACTCCCCATCCTGAAGGCTCTTCCACTGTCGCCTGCAGCGGGGGATTCCCGGCATCCGCCATTTCTAGGGTCGCCCCCGGCCTCCCAGTCACCCGCACCAGGTACAGCAGCTCGGGTGCCGGCCGGGCCGTCAGTGCGGGGAGACAACTGGTCACGAGCACGGCCTGGCTCTTCCACCGGCTGCTTCCTGGTACGAACCCCACCAGGACCCGCCCACCCACCCGCAGACGCCTGCCCTGCGGTCCGCAAGAACCAGCACATGAGCCCACCGTCGAGGGGACGGTCTTTACTCTGCCTCCATTTCAGAAACCCCAGCCCGGCTACTGAGAGGGGCAGGTGGGCAGCATTGCCCGGGGAGCCGACACGAGCCCTCAACCGCGGGTCAGCTTCAGCCTGGGGGCTTCTCCTGGCACCGTGCGGGGGCCGGGGGTCTGAGTGACCCTGACTGCACAACAGCCTGCAGGTCCAGCCCAGGGAGATCAGTTCGAGAGTCCAGGTGCTCCCTGTCTCTCTTTGCCGTCAGGAGACGGACGGGCACAGACCAGGTCGCCGCCAGCACCCCGGGAGCATGGGGAGCACTGAGGGTGTCGAGCCTGCCCTGGGACGCGGGGAAGGCTTCAGTCACACGTCAGCACTCGGCCTGGAGAGCCCCGGTGCCATCTAGAAACTTCTACAGGACGCCACGCACTGGCCACTGCACACTGCAGCACCGTCCCCACCTGCCCAGTGCACCCCCAGGGTGGCCGAGCGTTAGGAGTAGATGGTGACCACCTCCCGGCCGCTGCCCCTGACCAGGAGGACCCGGTTCAGCCCCTCGGTCAGGACCTCGAGGAACTCCATATCTGCGGTGCGCTGAGTTAAGGACACAGCTGGCCCAACCTTGCAAGTAGCCAGAAGTGTGAAGGGGACAGCTTTACTCACCCCGGTCCTGTGTCCAGTCAGGATCGGTTTGAGAAAGAGGTGGAGGACGGGGGCGGCAGGCCCGGAGAGGGAGGGAGGGACTGTGCGAGGGGAAGAGGAGTGCTGACCCCGCCCAACAGAGACCTCAGCTAGGGCTGCGGTCAGCCTACACCTGCAGCTGCCTGACCAGGAACCTGGAGGGACCCCCGTCCTCGCCCAGGGGCTCTGGGCACAGATCCAAGGGAAAGGATGCAACAGACACGTCCACCACCAGGACACCTAGACTGACCGGAAGTCCTGGCTCCAAGGAGGCATGGATCCCTGGGCTTGTGGTCCTCCTGAGGCTTAAAGCCCGAGGACCAAGCTGCTGGCCTCCTTACAGCTTCCTGCCTGCTGCTCCCCAGGGTGGGGTGGGGCTGAACTCAGAGGATGACCAGGCTGCACGCCCCCTGGGTGGCCCAGGGTGGGGCGGACCTGTGACCCCCAAGGTCAGGCCTGGCAGCCTTGCTCCACGCAGCAGCTGACGGGGTTCCACAAGTTGGGGGCACTTGGTGCTGGGAAGGGCTCAGAGCGGAGCCACTGGCAGAACCTCATGGACTGGGCCCCTAGGCTCTGCCCCGTCCCCCAGATGACTGGGAAGAGGCCGGGACAGGAGCTGGGAAGGCAAGAGCCTGGAGCCCAGAGCCGAGGCAGGAAGGCTGGGGTCAGTGACATGGTTTCTGTGCCCACGTTCACCCCACTCATCACCTGAATTCCCCAGGTGTCAGCCTGCTCTCCACGGAGGCCTCTGTCACCCAGAGCACCAAGCACGTCTTCTATCTCCTCACCTCCACGAGTCTACACTGTCTCCTCGGCCCCGCGCTCACGCTGAGTCAGTGAGGGGCGATTTCTGAGACTCCCCAAGCCCAGCTTCCCTGGCCATCAATAGCTCAAATGTGGGGACCAGGCAGACGACAGGAACTGGGTCTGCTCACAGCCTCTGCGCTCGCTGGCCCACAGCCCCACACGGCCCCCGTGATACAGCTCTGGTCCGGGCACCTCAGGTCACCCACATCCCACGCTAAGGGCCCCACAGCTCCCAACCCCAGCCCCAGGCGCCTCCCCTGAGCAGCAGCGGGGTGAGGGGCCCTCCCACCACATGGCGGCTGTCCCCCACCTCAGCAAGGGCAGCATCTGGGAAAGGATACAGTTCTCGTCCCCCTGCCGGTTTTTGGGGGGCCCCGGCATGTTGAGCAGGACCAGCTGGGCATCCTGGGACTTGTCGAGGATGACACCATTGAGCTTCACAGCCGTGTGCATCCTCCGGACGTTGGACTGGTTCCTGTGAGAGGGAGACAGTCACACGGCACCTCCAATATGCAGTCCTGGGCACCAGGCTGTGTCTGAGCCCCAACTTGCCCACTTGGCTCCCATCAGAAAGGGCAGGTGGAGACAGGTCAGACCCGCCACCTGGAGAAGCCACAGGACGCGATGCCACGTGTGGCAGAGACAACAGCCGGAGGCCACTCCTGTGGGCGGAAGCGGAACCTCGGACGACACAGCGAGCCCGTTTCCAGGTTGAGAGGCGTCTCCGTCGAGACCCCTGCCCCGCGGCCAGCCCGTCCTTAAATGCTGCCCCATGAGGAACCTGCTGCCGGAGTGAGCACCACCTGCGGCCACTAACCCAGTGGGTGAGGAAGGAGGGCCCAGCCCACCACCAGTGCCTGAGGCCCGAGCCCCTCTAACAGAGCTGGGGACACTGGCCAAGTATGTGGCCACCGCGAGGCCCGCCCCGGCTCGTGGCCTGCCCGGACGCTGCTGCTCCTGGCCGACAGCAACCGCTCCCACACCGGTGACCAGACCCTGTGCCTCACGTCCTTGCCCACTGCCCTGACCCCACAGCCTGATGCACACTGATGCCTCTCACGGTGCTCTGGGCAGCCAGCCTCCCAGGGAGGCTCCTCGGGGACGCAAGACTGGGGACGCTGCTGCCCTGTGCCCGCCAGCAAGCCCTCCTCCTCTGCATCGGCCCCTCAATGAGCTGCACCCCGGGAAGCACACAGCAAACCCCGACTGGGAGGACCCAAGCCCCTGCACCTGCTCCTCCCTCTGCACAGCTGCCGGTGCTGGGGCCACGTGCGGCAGAGCGGGGGGCCGGTGTGGGGGCTGCAGCTGGAAGGAGCTCACCATGCCCAGGACACAAGAGGGGCGGGCGGCTGGGCAGACAGACAGACAGACAGACGAGGCCGCCACGTGATGGTCGGGAAAGGCCCGCAGGACGGGAGCCTGGGCCACAGCCTTTGATCAGCTCAAACTTTAAGCCAAATAAATCCAATTACAACCGCCAATTACCAGGAGAAAACGGGGAAATGGAACCCTTGGTTTTCTCGCTCCAGTTTCATCTGATAAAATTACAGGCTGGGTCTCTGTTCTCGGCACAGCCAGGGGCCTTTGGTTCCGAGAACCGAGAATTAGTTGCCTGGATGGATCCCTATTATCGGTGTGTTTGGGGACACAACAGCAATTCTAGAAACGTGTCTGTGATATTAAAGGGCCTTGGGGTTAAGAGTCTGACAACACATATAATCTTAAAATCAAGGGCCAGGCCTGGACATACCCGCGGTTCCAGGACTGTGGGCCCATGGAGGCCAGAGAGGCCCGGGCGGCCCTCACGTGTCCAGAAGGTAACAGACACTTGCACTGGTTACCCGACAGCCAGCCGTGAAGCCACCAAACGGGGAAACGCGTCATCACATGCTGAGTCTGGTGGAGAAGCGCTTCCCCAGCCAGGTTCTCTGAGGCTGGACCTGCGGTCGGGCTGGTGGGCTGCCCAGGGTTGGGGAGGGCGGGGGAGGCCCGTGGACGGCGTGCGGGCAGGGCGGGATTCTGGACCCTGGCTGCTGACAGCAGACGACCACACACCCCGGGGCCAGCCACGGTGTGCCCGCCATGGGGTCACCTGTGGGCTAACCTCCCACCTTCCGGGAGCTTCCCGCAGCCCAACCCCCGCGGCAGACCAGACTGGCTCTCCTGCCCGCTTCCCGCAGGCCCGGGACAGTGGCAGCTGGCTGCACTCGGGCCAGGCCTGCCGCTCGCAGCCCCTTCGACGGGGAGTTGGAGGGGACACCTACTGCTGCACTACGGGCTTGTTGTGCGTTCTTACTCAAATGCTTCATCTGGAGGTCACTTTATGTTTATGAAAAAACAGAGCAGGCAGCACGGAGTCCTGTGCACTCGCCCCCGGGGCTCCTTCAAGGGACCCACACTCCTGCGGCCCCTGGGGCGTGAGCTGCTCGGGTCTAGGGGCTGAAACAGGAAGTCTGGCCACCGAGTCATGAGGCTCCGCTGGGCACCCCGGGAGGGAAGACAGCCCGGAAGTCACAGGGGAGCTGGGGCGGATGGACAGACAGACAGCAGCCCTCCAGGCCCTGGATCTCTGGCCCTAACCCCCAGGGCCAGCCCCAAAAGAGGATTCACACACATCCCTTCTGATGAGATCAAACGTGGCAGCTTCCTACAGGGCAAAAAGGCACTGGGCGCTGCGGAGACAGAAGGAAAAGCTGTCCCCACGCAGCCGAGACTGGGTGCATCTGGACCCCGGGACCCCGAGGAATGTGGGTGAATCAAACTGACAGCTACCAGAACACTCGCCCTCCGCTCTGGAGCCCGCTCAGGACCAACCCTCCCCAGACCTCGTCCGCAGGCGCTGTTCAGAGAAGGAATGTCGGGTATGTGCCCCGAGCCACTCCGGGCGAGGGAGTGAGTTAAACAGGAAGTTCCTCAAAGTCAAGCAGTGCAGGGCTGAGCACGGACACACGGACGCGCACACGAGGCCAGGCACGGAGAAGGAACACGCGCACACGGGGCCGTGCATGCACAGGACTGCACACGTGTGTGCTCACGGGCACATCCACACACGGGACCGTGCACACACTCTGACGTGCACGCACGGGTCGCGAGGGGCAGTGCGTGCAGCGCATGCCAGGCAACCAAGTCTATGAGGTCCCAGGACCGGGAGGACTTACAGGTTTCCCCACTCTCTATGCGGAAGAGAAGACAGAATGCACGTTACTTCCCGAGCAAACACGACGCCCCCGCTGACTGTGCTCCTCCTCCAGGGCATCTGTCCCCTCGGCCCAGAGAGCCCCCCAGGCCCTTCTGACAACTCGGGCTACGCCGAAGACCCGGGAGATGCCGTCCTGACTCTCCCACCCGGGACCCTCCTCAGGCCCAGCCACACGCCCACTGGGCTCCCAGCTCAACGCCATGGGCGGAGCCCCGGCAGGCGGATGGGCCAGCCTGATGGGCAGCCTGGAGGGTCAGAGCGGGGAGTCCGGCCCCGGGGGCAGCCCCGACCTCCAGGTGCTGCAAAAGCCCCCGGAACACTGTCTGCCACCTCGCCACCCACTGCCGCCCGCTTCCCTGCAAACTGGCCTGAAAGGAGACCGTGGGGCAGCGAAGGGGCCCGTCCCCACTGTGGGTCAGAACAGGGCTGACACTCACGGCTTCAGGCTGAAGAGGTCCTTGAACCCGGACGCAGCAGCATCCTTGTTCCGATGTTTCTCGGCAATCAGCTTCTCCTTCGTCCAGGTCATCTGCACTCTGTCCGGTGTGGATGGGGCCTGGGTCCTGGCGGCCGCCACAGAGTGGGACGCGGTGTGCCTGTCGTGGATAAGCTGCGCCTGGCGGGAGGGCAAGGCAGCGCCAGTCTCACTGTGATGCCAGGTACCAACCCCCAGGGAGGAGCGAGCGGGCAGAGAGGCTGGCGGCCCCACAGCCCCGGGGACACCTGGATTGGCCCTCCCAGCCCCACGGGCGTCCAGACCAAACTCGGGCTTCCTCCTGTCTCCTCCTGCCCCAGCTCTGAAGGCCCAGGAAAGCACCCTGGCCTCCACGTTGCAGGAGGCACGACACCCAAGACTCTACCGGATGCTGCTCCACGTGGACGCGTGGGCTCCACCCCGACCCGCTCACCCGCCTGCCCGCCCACCCTCCCCTCAGCCTTCCAGCCACCTGTCCACCCACTGACTCATCTGCAGTGCAGAGACCGCCAGGGAGCCCAGGCCCCGGGGAGGGGCAGCAAGAGCTGCAGAGTTTTGGGGTGGGGGGAGCCGCAGCAGCACGCAGGCACCCTGGGAAGCTGCGGGCGAAGACAGCGCTGACCGGCAGCCAGAGGGAGTCGGGGAGGCCGTGGGGATGGACAGAGTGAGGTCTCTCAGGTGGTGACGTGTGAGGTGGAAGGGAGCTGGGAGAGGGGCAAGGAGGTGGCCCTGAGGGACTCGTGTGGCTGCTGGCTTGGGGACTGGAGGGACTGGGGTGTCATGGGAGAGGGGGCCGTGGTGCTCAGTAAAAGATGGCTCCAGACCGGGGGGCTGTGCGTAAGCAGGAAGGCCGGGTGGACGCCGGCTCTGTGTGGACCTCACGTGTGAGCCCAGGGCCGCAGAGCCCCTGAGCCCGGCCTGGGTGGCAAGGAGGGCGTGACGTGAGCTGAGTGGGGAGGTGAGGTGGAGCAGAAGCTGCATCACCAGCTTTTCACAAACCAGGCAGAGGTGAAGGGCTCACAGTGACCTCAATGATCCCAGTCCCCATGGTCACGTGGGGTCTGGAAAAAGGCAGGCCAGCCTTTCGTCAAAGGCTCCGGGACGACCACCTGTGCGACGAACCAGACACGCACCTCCCTCTCGCGCTCCGTCTTGGACAGCTGCATCTGCTTTAGCATCTGGGACCTCTGCTCCATCACCAGCGTCTTCTCATAAGTGAACGCTGAAATGTCATTCTCAACCTGCAAGTTCCAAAGCGCAGAAGTAAACACCAGTACAAAACTGGTGCGTTCTCACCAGGCAACCCCAGTTACACAACGAGTGTGCCGTGCGTCCTCAGTGCCCTCAGCAGGTCTCGGAGCCCCGGGCCCCGAACTCCCCGAGGGGGGCTGTGTGTGCACGTGTGTGCGTGGGCAACCACGAGTCTGTGAATGGCTGTCAATCGGAACGCCCTCCGCCCACCCCAGGACCCACGTTCACTAACACACGAGACACAGAGAAGAAAACACCACAGCCATGGCTCTGGACCGGAGCCCGTCCACTGGAACCAGGAAAGCAGGCCAGGCGTGGCTGACAGGAGGTGTTTTTAGGCTCAGGAGAGCCGCTCGGCCGCGCAGGCTCAGTCTGTAACTCCCCGCCCACTGGCCCGAGCTTGGCGGGGACGGACCCGCAGTGTACCATCCCACGGTCCTCAGTCATGTTTGGTCCAGCTGGGGTCTTCCTCCCACAAACCCACCACCCAGTCCAGCCATGGGAAAAACGCCAGGCAAACGGAGACCGAGCGACACCGCACAAGGTGCCTGAGCCTCCTCAGAGCTGCCAGGGTCACGAGAAAGGGGAGAAATCTGAGAGGCTGCCACTGCCAGACGGCACACAAGGGCTCGGGGAAGCGGAAGCCAACAGCCTGGGGGTGGAGGTGAGCCAGCAGCCCTGGGCGGTGGGTGTCCCGGGGACCCAGCAAATCAGAGCTACACCCTTGGGGTGCAACATGCAGCCCTGCCCAGCGCCGGCGCGCCCTCACCATCTCCACCACCTCCACCTCGGCGCTGATCCGCAGGTGGTACAGGAACATCTGTAGGTCCTTCTTCATCTGGATGCTGTTGTCGTCCACCTGGGCCACCGTGAAGATGCGCATGCGGCACTTCCGCCACACCTGGCGGCGAGGCAGGGCGGGGTGGTCAGTCCCACCGCTGTCCACCCCCAGCCACCCCCAGCGTGATCCCACCCCGCATGGACCTGCCCCGTGTGACCCCACTCCCATGCACCCTCCCCTCCACGCATGGACCGGCCCCACGTGCCCTACCCACGACCCACATGGACCCGCCCCCTGTGCCCCCACCCCCGCATGGACCCGCCCACAACCTCCCTGAGCACTCCACCTTATGCTGCCGCAGCAGGAAGGGCAGCAGCATGAGCAGACCCCCGTCATGCACGATCCACCACACATCGATGTTCCCGTCGCTGAAGCGCTCCTGGTTTTGCGGGAACAGATCCACATTCTTGGCCACCAGCAGGGCCTGATGCGCCGCTGTGGTGTCTCGGACAGTGTCTGCAGAGAGATGGTCATGTCACCACGTCACAGGCCCTGGACTGCAGAATGGCTGCGCCTGGGGTCCCCACAAAGCCCCACACGGGGCGACCCCTCGCTCACACCCTCATCACTCCATGGCCCCGGCCCAGTGAGAAGGAGCCCCCGGGGAACCGCCAAACGCGGGTCGGGCCCCGGGAGGGGGCTCCCGTCTCCAGGCTACTGAACGGCTGTTGGTTTTCTAGAAACAGCACAGCCGAGGCCTCTGACGGCCCCCGGGGAGCAGGTCTCAGCCAGGACCCCGAAACCCAGCACAGGGCCCTGACCCACCGACAAAGCTCTTCCAGGAGAAGGGGCTGTCCTCCCGCTTCCAGGACTGGGGCCAGGCCATGAGCACCGTGTTGTGCTTCAGGGCCCCCAGGCCGGCTGACTGGATCAGGTGGGACATGCCGTCCCGCAGGCTGGATGACACCACCAGCTGGCAGAAGCCCTTGGCCTTCTCGGTGCACATGAGAGCCCGGATGTTCTGGGGACACAGGCAGGTTGGGGCGGGCGGGGGCGGGCCCCTGGCCAACGTCCCAGCCTCACACGCGGAGGCCGGAGGCCCAGCCCCCATCGGTCCCCGAAGCCCAGGCCCGGTGCCACCCCTGCCACCCCTCGCCTGCCACCCAGTCCCACCTCCTCGGCCTGCTGGGCCTCCGCGTGCTTGTCCAGGAAGGTGCCCTCCAGCACGGAGCCCACGATGGTCAGGCCCTTGCCGGCCTTGAGCTGCGAGGTAAAGGACAGCAGGCGGGGGTGCTTCACGCTCTGCTCTGCGTCCAGGTTCAGCATCACGAGCACCTGGGGCCTGCGGGGGGGGCAGTTGCCACGTTCTCACTGACAGGCAAGACCCCTCCCGGGGCCGCGTGCCTGAGGACCTCTAGGGCCGAGTCAGGGCAGGTAAAATCCCAGCTTCTCAGGGAAGCCTCCCCACCTTCCTCCCAGAAGCGAGAGGACTCGCAGGGGCCTTCCATCCATAGCAGGTCCTCGCTAGGTCAGCTCAGCTCGACCCCCCACAGCCCGGCCCGGCAGAGCCCACCTCCACCCTCGCCAAGTCTCATCGCCGGGCAGTCAGATACGCGCTGATCACGCCCAGGCTGATGCACCATGGGCTCAGAAGCCAGAACAACCGAGACGATGGGAGAAGAGGACGACTCCTCTCGGTAAAGTCTGATCTTAGGACTCTGTGACCTAGATTCCGTGGGGCCAAAGGGCATGAGGAGGCTCTGGGCGCTTACCTCCAGTTCTTGGTGTGTGGGGGGCCATGCTCCACACGCAGCAGGGCGTAGCGGGCGGCGTTCAGCGACAGTCCCCTGATGCCATCACCCCACTCCTTTTCAGCCCTGTAGGAAGGGGAAGCATTGAGGCCCTGCCCCCTGCATACCCAGGAGGTACCCGAGGGACAGTCTCCCCGGGAGGCCCTGGGGTCTCAGTGCTTTTCTAAGAAGGGGCTTCCCAGACCAGCTGGGAATAGGAGGGAGCAGGATGGGGGGAGGGGACCCCTGGGTGGAAGGGCAGGGGGAGGCGCTGGCAGCTGTGTGGGACCTCAGAGTTGGGGCCATCGATGGGGCAGAGGGCGTGTGGAGGGGGATCTGTTGGGCAGGCAGTGGCCAGGCTCACCAGCAAGAGCAGTCACAGCCCCAAGACCCTCCTTCCAAACCACTATGGAAAAGCTTGGAGGGGACTTCGGGCAGCACCGCTGGGGTCCCCCATCCCATCCACCCCCAGGACCCCACCTCTCTCCCTCTGGAAGCGGGCCAGGGCGTCCAGGGGAAACGCCCCATGATGGACCAGGGGCTCTGAAATGCAGTTAACCTGACCATCATTTTGGTTTTCCATGGTGTACCTTTCAGAAATTTGGAAATCCCGCGCACGTCAGTTAAACGGATTAAAACGGATTAAATGGATTTCAAAGCTTACAAACAGCACGCTAAAAAGGCAGGGTTTTTATACTCAGATGTAGATAAACCTAACGACTTGTAACAGATTGGAATCAATTACAAACAGCAAACGCGGCTCTCCACCTGTTAAGTCACAGGCAGAAAACCCTGACGCCAAGTGTGGGCTCCGACGGCTTGGCCACTAGAGGTCCCTGAGCACCGCCCATCAGGAGGCGGCCCCACAGCATGGGCCGGCAGACCCTGGGGAGGCGGGAAGGAGGCGGGAGGGAGGCCTGGGCCCCGCGAGGCAGCGGCGGCAGCTCACCCGCGGTACTCGATGTACTTGTAGATGCAGCCGGCGATGAGCATGGCGACCAGGGCGTAGTACCAGGAGCAGATGAACATGAGCGCGAAGCACAGGCTCATGCCCAGGAAGGAGAGGGTCCTGCGGGGACCTGCAGCTCTGGGCCCCGCCCCTCGCCCGGCCCCGCCCCTCACCATCGGGCCCCGCCCCTCACCACCGGGCCCCGCCCCTCAGGCCGGAACCATCCCCCACAGGCATCTGAGCGGCTGCACTGAAAAGGTCCCTTGGACCCAGCAAAAACCTTCTCTCAGTTACAGCAGTAACAGCAATGACGCGGGTGATTGGCGCCTCCACCCCCAGGTCACCCACAGGAGACCCCCTCAGAGACCACGCTCAACGCCCACTGCGCTCCCGGACGTGCCAGCTTCACGCATTCTCTCGGTGTCTGCCGCACTGGGCACGTGGAGGCCGAGCAGCCTCACGCTCCAGCCCGGGGGACGAGGGCTGAGCACCAGGCAGCCACACGGCTCCCGATGCCCGGGCGTCCAGGGTGACAACACGCACATGGCCCTCCCCAGCCCGGCCGGGCCTGTTCCGCAGAGCACGGACAGGGACCCAGGCTGCCACCAGCCTCGCAGAGCCACAGCGCATCCCCGGGCCTGCTCACCAGTGGTAGTACTTGAAGCGCGGACGCCAGTTGGGCGTGCGCAGCAGTGTCTGCAGGGCGCAGGCCAGGTTCACAAACATGTAGCACATGAGGAAAAACCTGGGGATGCAAGAAGCAGCGTGAGGGGCCCAGCCAGGTCCCATGGGGTCCCTCCGAGCCCCAGTCACCGCCCCTCCTGTGGGGCCTGCCTGCCCCCCTTTGCCCACCACGTGGCCCCCTGCTCTGCCCACGTGACTGCCTGGCCCCTGTGCCTGCACCCATCCCTGCTGTCCCCTGGCAGAAAGCAGCCCCGGAGCAGGGGCTCACGTCCCCAGGGAGGCTGACAAGAGGCACCAGCAGCCACTCACATGGACAGGATGGGGGCCACGCTGTCCAGGGAGGCGATGAGGATGCCAGTCTCACAGATGAGAGCTGTGAGCAGCAGAGCCCATGTGGGCTCCCCGTTGGCCTTTCCGTGGCCAAACACCTGCAGGGAGAAGGGCAAGTGGGCAGGGGGCTGAGGAGTGGGGGGCTGAGGGTTGGGGGGCTGTGGGAGGCCAAGTGGTTGGGTCCAACACAAGAGAGGTCAGGGATGCAACAGAAGCAGAAATGGGCTTTCTACAGTGCATCCCAGACCTCCCCAGCCATGAAGAAAACCTGACACCCTGCAGACAGATGATGGCCTGGGTACCAGCAGACCCCAAGACCCTTGGAGAGGGCCGGCCAGGATGCAGGGCGACACCCCAGGGTGCTGGTCGGGGGTCTCCTCACATCACCCCACCCTGGGAGACTTCTGTGAGGGCCCTTCACCCCACATGGGACAATGGGCTTCCCGGAAGGAAGCCTTTCTACCTCCCTCCCTCCCGCACGGCGGTACTGGGAAGGGAAATCCAGACACAAAATGCAGACCTCAGGGTACAGGCTGCCACGCTGCAGGTGGGGATTGGGTCCCACTGTCTTTAACTGCTTGAAAGATCTTGCTCTGGGGCAGACCCTCGGACCCTCCAGACACGGCCCTTCCTGAGGGTCCCCTGCCCCCAGGAGGCCACAGCTGCCATGCTTACCTGCAGGAAGGGGACGATGCCATCCCGGGCAATGGCCTGCAGCAGACGTGGGGCCCCCGTCAGGCTCTGCAGGCCGGCCCCACAGGTGGAGAAGAAGGAGCCGATGACAATGACCCAGGGAGACGGCCAGGCCAGAGTGCCGATGACGAGGCTGCCCTTCAGGGCCTCCCCGAACCTGGGGGTGGGCAAGCTTTCAGACACCAACTGAACACAGAAGTGTTCTCCCACCCTTTGAGTGGGACGATGGTGTCTCCCGGGAGCCCCTGCACCCCTGCTCTACTGGGTCCAAGGCTGCTCTACCCAGCTCCAGGCTTCTCAAGTAGGAGACAGATGAACAGGTCAGAGCCCAGCACACGGCCCCGGGGCTTCCCACTACACACACACAGATACACATGCACACACACAGACACACACACATGCACACACACAGACACACGCGCACACACACGCACAGACACAGAGACATAGAGACACACACGCACACACAAACACACACACAGAGACACACACACACACAGAAATGCGCGTGCGCGAGCAAAGCTAGAAACCCTGGGGCTAAAGTTGTCTTCAAGAAAACCAGTGCTGACCCCGGAAGTTTCCAGAAGCCATACATAAATGAGACCAACATACTTGTCTCGTAAGACCACGCCTTCGATGCAGGCCCCAAAAAGCACAATGCAGGAGAGGTCTGTGCTCGGGTCAAGGAAGCGGTGGGCGCGATGCACTGGCCGCAGGTGTGCCTAGACCGGCCCCATGACCTCCCTCCGCCCCCACCCTGTCCCCACTGGGCCCCGCCCTGGGCGCATGGCTGCATCCTGGCTCCACAGGGACCTCAGGGCACTCAGGACGGTGGGCCTGCCCTGGAGCATGACCGCTGCAGGGACTGGGCAGGGGACCTCACTGGCTGGGAAGGGACAAACCCAGCGAGAAATGGCTCCAATGGCACCTTAAAGCCAGTGACCCACTGGACAAAGCCGTGACAAGGGTGCACAGGCACCACTGTCACGGGACACGCATGTCACTACATGTTACAATGTGTCACTAACACATAACAGTGTGGCTACTACACGTGGGTCACGGACACCTCGCATTCCACAACCAACCAAGGCTGGGGTCCTGGTGTCCTATTCTCCACGTCAGGCCACCGGCCCAGCCCCTCTGAAGGTGGACGTGTGGTTAGGACTGCATGCAGTAGGGAACCCCACCCCCACCCTGAGGTGCCAACAGCGCAGCAGGGAGCAGAGCAGGGTGTCGGGGCCACCTGCCCCAGCCTGGCCTTCCACTCTCCATCCCCCAAGGATACAAATAAAAGATGTGGTCACAATGGCCAAAATGGTCCCCATGGGGATGGACTTCTGGGCATCCTTGAGGTCCCCAGACCGGTTCGAGCCCGCCATGATGCCTATGGAGACAGATGGATAGCTGATGGGTCATGGTGCAGAGCAAGATGCTGCCGCCCAGGCCCGTCTGGGCAGTCAGAACGAGGCCGGGACTCCGCACGACGCCAGGGAGACCCCGTGCTTGCATAGGCTGCCGTCCCCACGTTGGGTCTCCCAGAGCCAGGCTGGGCCTCGCTGTCCACGCCCTGGGACGGCTGCGGCAGGGAGATAGGGTGAGCAGCCCTGGTGGGCAGCCTCCCCAAGTCTGCGGATAGGCTCCAAGCAGGTGCAGGAACAGGAGGGACAGACACGCTGACAGCCACAGGCCTCTCAGCTGGCACAGTTGGGTGGGGGCCACTGATCCCAGGCAGGCTGAGGGCCGTCCAGGAGCGGGGGTGTGTGTGTGTGTGCACACGCGTGTGAACCCATGTGTGCCCATGTGCATGTGTGTGTGCATGTGGGGGAGATGGGGGACCAGTGTGTGTGGAGCGCCCCCCGAGAAGTCAGCTGACCCGCTTAAAAGGACAAGGACGGTCGCATCTCCCAGCCTGACAGCCCTGGTGCCCACTCCTAGCTTCCAGCGTCACAGGGCCACTTCTCACAGCACGGGCCTCTTGGGAGAGCATGAGCAGAGCTCCTTTAAGCCACATCCTCCCCAAGCCGCACTCCCAGGACAGGTGCGTTTCTTGAGCCAAAGCAAAGAGGAAGGGGAGCAGTGTGCAGCGGAGCTGCAGGCGGCCCCGCCCCACCGGGAACACGCAGGCCTCACCGGTCACAGACGGGAAGTAGATGCCGACCAGCAGGGTGAAGCAGGTGGCGATATCAGTGAGCACGTATGGCGGCCCGCCGGCCCCACTGTCCTCCGGCACGGCCACCGAGGGCAGGCCCTTCTTCTCCACAAACGCGCCCTTGTCCGTGTACGCGCTCCACAGGTTGTCTGTGAGGACACAGACGGGCTGAGACTCCAGGACCTGCTGGCGGGGTGACCACCCCCCACCGACCCCAGACCCCAGCTCCACACCAGGACGGGACACCTCACTCAGACTGACTGTTCTCTGCTAATCTCTGGATGAGAGATTTCAGCCCTTCAGCCAAGTTTGAACAAGAAAGTTACCTCCTACAACAAACGCGGCCCTGACAGCCGCCTGCGGGACCCCAGTGAAGGTCTCTATTTAGAGGGAGTCAGTCAGCGATGGAAGACCCCCAGCACACACACACACAGCTGAGGTAAGCAGCTGGGCCCCCTCCCACCTGTGCTGACCCCAGCCTGGCAGCCTCGCTGGGACCTGTGGCCCTGCCTGCCCAGACCCTTCCCACACAGGGACCCCCCCTCCGCAGACACCTCCTCACCTCACCTCCCTCCTGCCAACCCCTGCCCCTCTGAGCAGAGCGTCCCCTCTGCACGGCTGCCCTCCCCACCCTGGGGGACCTGTTGGTGGCTGCCCATCCAGGGGTTTGCTCTGCAACTTCCACCGAGAAGCCAGAACCCAGAATCCAGAAGAACCCTCTGGGCGTCAGGACCCCTGTGCTCCAAGGAACGTGTAGGGGGGCAGCACGACAGCCCCTTCCCTCCCCGCCCCCATCTCGGCCCCGCCCAGCTCCACCTGCAGGACGAGGATGGTGTTATGGCCTCCGTGTGCCCGACACCCACTGTCGTCTTGGCCTCAGATGGACACACGACAACTGACCGCCCACCACAGAGCAGGCAGCCAGAACCAGCCTGGTCTCTACCCTAGAAGGGCAGGCCTCTCACCCGGAGCAGGGAGGACCAGCTCGATTTTTCTACATGGACGAGCAGAGACGGCAAAGCAAGTCACTTCTCATTAATTATTTTCCTTATTAACACCGTAACCCCATGCGTGTTGCCACAAGTTCCTAAAGATAAAGCATCCAACTTGAAGCCTGACCTGTTGTCGCCATGACACACGTGGCGTCCACGGCTCGGGCAGAATCAGCCCAGACAGGGGCCCCAGTGGGTCAGCAGCAGGGGACGAGCTGACAGCCACAGCTGGGGCAGAAGGACGGGGCCCAGAGACTGGGCCTCGGACCACCCGCCCTGGCAGAGGCCGCCGGACACTCACCCAGGAGGACGCCGCTGGCCACACCGGGGATGCCCTGGATCTCCGTGACGTTGTTCTGGAGGAAGTACTGATCGCAGGAGGTGCTGGCCGTGGAGCTGTTGCAGAAGAGGCCCCAGAGCGCGGTGGCCATCGAGCCGTTGTTGGCGGCCTGGACTTTCGCACAGACGTCGAAGCCACGTCGGGACAGTGTGCGGTTCCCCAGCAGACAGACCCTGGGGCAGGAGCGGGTAGTGAGACGTGCAGCTCCCCCGGGAACTTACTCCCACCCGGGGGCTTCCGTGAGCGCTAGGGGAGCTGGTGGTCGTCCTCAGGGCCGCGGCCACTGCAGGCCCTAGACCGTCCCCAAGCCTGTCCTGTCCTTGCAGACAGCACGGCTACAAGAGCCTTATGACCCGCTCGTCCCCAACGCGGCCAGGGAGCAGACGCGGCCCCAGGACTCACGAGATGTCCGGAGGGTCGAAGGCGGTCTTGATGACGCCGGCGTAGATGGCGAGGATGGACAGCACGACGCAGGCCAGGAACACCAGGGCCAGCTTGTTGACGTACTTGACGCCCACGAAGACCACCATGGCCATGAGGGCCAGCGTGCAGGTCCCGTAGACACGCATGTTGTGCAGCATGGCTGCCGCCTCACCATCCGCCGCCTCAGCCTGGATGATGGCTGCGCTGGGGGAAATGTAGGTCTGCGCGGACAGAGCAAGGTCAACAAGGGCCAGGAGGGACATGCGAGGGACAGGCTGGATGCACTCCAGCACCTCCAAAGGGCCTTCTCTGGTGGGGCTCAGTGCTGGGCTCCCCCCTCCCCGAGAGACCCCACCCCACCAGAATGCATTTAGGACAGGATCTCGGAAAACAGGGGCATTGGATGGTGGGGGATGGAGCACTTTTCCAAGGTGAAACTCGGGCACCCCCCAGGGAGCAGAACACAAGGACATCCCGCTGCCCCAACTGAAAGTAAAGGCAGTGTTTTTCTGCCAACAGGGATGTGAATCCAGCCTGAAGAGCCAGCGCAGCCCTCTGAGAGCCATGCGGGCCCGAGGGAAGGGTGACAGACCAGGAGCAGTCACCCCATCGCCCGCCATCAGGAACCTGGAGGGGGTGGGGGCAGCACCAGTGTCTCCGGCCTCCACAGCCACGGCGACAGAGCAGGAGGAAAATTGGGGCAGGGTGGCAAGGGCCAGCAGGCTTCCCAGAGATCGTGACATCGGAGGAGCCTTCTGGCAAACTGGGGGCTCTTCTGCCTTGAACCCACTTATAAGGAATGCTGGCCTCAGGGCCGGCGGGCTGGGGCGTCCCTTGGCCACACCCCCGAGCTCACAGCCTGCAGGCCTCGGGGCTCCCACTCTCCACTCGGCCACACACCACCCACCACCCGTGCCTGGCAAGCCTGCTGGCTCGGGAGGCTCCAGCCTCACCTGCCGAGCACTCTGGGTGGCCTTGCCTGGCCGTCACGTGCCCGGACAGAGATGGACACACCGACCTGCAGAGTCTGAGGAGACGTCCAGGGTGATGAGGCAAAGGGACAGCTCGGGGAGCAGCGTATCCCGGGAAGGGGACGGACACACGGCCCCTTTCAGTATCCCGTCAGCTGATGGTGGCTGTGGCCTGGGCCACGGAAACCAGCCCAAAGCAGAGCAC